CCTTCTCCCGTCCTTGGGGCAAAGAGCTCTCTCTTCTCTCACTCGGGCCCCCGCGGGCAGAAAGAAGCCAGTTTCCCTCAGCGCCTCTTCTTTCAGGCTTTGGGTTTATTGTTTCGGGTTTAGATTTGGGGTTTAGGGTTTAGGGTTTAGGGTTTAGGGTTTAGGGTTTAGGGTTTGGGGTTTGGGGTTTGGGGTTTGGGGTTTGGTGTTTGGGGTTTGGGGCGTAGGATTTGGGGTTTGGGGCTTGGGGTTTGGGGCAAATCCGAAACTCGAAGTCTTGAGCCTTTCAAGCCCTAAACTTGGCGGATACCTTGGCGATGAAAACCCTAAACCCTAAACCCTAAACCCTAAACCCTAAACCCTAAACCCTAAACCCTAAACCCTAAACCCTCCTAAACCCTAAACCCTCCTAAACCCTAAACCCTAAACCCTAAATGCTGTTCTTACAGGCCTCGTGCTCAGGAAACTGGAGCCCTTAAAGCCTGACATGCGAAGTTGGGGGTGTAGGGTTTTATCATGCGGGAAGCATTGGCGTAGATGCGCGGGATCTGTGTCCCAAATCTCCAGGTTTAGGGTTTAGGATTTAGGGTTTAGGGTTTAGGCTTTAGGGTTTAGGGTTTAGGGTTTAGGCTTTAGGCTTTAGGCTTTTCCGGGTCATAAGCCCTCAGCCCCGAGCCCTGACAATCCTGGCGAGCCCTCCTCGAAGGGCTCGCTCCAGTCGACGCCATTGGTGGTAGACTCGGTTTGGCAAGCAGTCGGGGGCTTCGCGTGATTTGGGCTTGGGGTGTCTGGGGATTACCCTAAACCCTGAACCCCAAAACCACGAACCCTTAGAAGTTAGGGTCAAGCGTTTAGGGTTTCAAAAGGGGGGGTGAAGGGTCTAGTGTGTAGGGCTTAGGGCTTCTTGGGGTTTCAGGGTTCTGCGTGTAGTGTCTAGGTTTCTTGGGGATTTTAGGGTTTGACAGCTTTTCGTGTCGGCCTTAAGGCTTCCCGGATTTGGCGTTTATAGGATGTCAGGGCTTCTTTGGGGTCGGAGGGCTTTGGGGTTCAAGGGCTTCGAAAGTGTGGAGGTTTAGGTTGTCAAGAGGCTTAGGGGGGGCTAAGGGTTTTAGGTGGGTTTACAAGGCCCTAAGCCCTAAGCCCTAAGCCCTAAACCCTAAACCCTAACAGGGGTTACAAGGCTTTGGGCTACAACGTTACTGAGTCAGCAGGAGGTTGGGGCTTGGGGTTGTTTCTGCACGGCTGTTCACAGGGGCATGGGTTTAGGGTTTAGGGTTTAGGGTTTAGGGTTTAGGGTTAGGGTTTAGGGTTTAGGGTTTAGGGTTTAGGGTTTAGGGTTTAGGGTTTAGGGTTTAGGGTTTAGGGTTTAGGGTTTAGGGTTTAGGGTTTAGGGTTAGGTTTAGGGTTTAGGGTTTAGGGTTTAGGGTAGGGTTTAGGGTTTAGGGTTTAGGGTTTTTGGGTTTAGGGTTTAGGGTTTAGGGTTTAGGGTTTAGGGTTTAGGGTTTAGGGTTTAGGGTTTAGGGTTTGGGGCTTGGGGCCTAGGGGTTTAGGGTCTAGCGTTGAGGGTTTAGGGTTTGGGGCTTGGGGCCTAGGGGTTAGGGTCTAGCGTTTAGGGTTTAGGGATTGGGGCCTAGGGGTTAGGGTCTGACGGTCGGCTACTTGCGCTGCAGACTACCTGGTCTTTCCGCCAAGCCGCGGCAAGGCAACGCAACAACCCAGATCTTGCAAAACCCCTTAAGTAAGGAAATACCCTAAATACCCTAAATGCCCCAAATACCCTAAATACCCCAACATGCCCTAGATACCCAAGATACCCTAGAGTACCCCGAGAGACCCTAAACCTTAAAGCCAGCACTTCTGACCCTGAACGTGAACCCCAGACCCCCCAAGAAATCGCCCCCTCCCACCACCCCTGAATCCCTAACCCTAAGCCCTAAACTCTAAACGAGCAGCCTGAAGCAGGGTGACCATGCTCAGAAACACTCCGGGGAAGAATTGCATGAGCCTGGGGCGAAAATCTGCGGGGCGTAGAGGGTTTAGGAATTCTATGGGGGTTGGGATGCAAGGCGTTTGGGTTTCAGGGTGTGCGGCGTAGGGAGTGCAGGGTTTAAGAGGAGGGTGGAGGAATTAGAGTTTACAGGGCAATTGCCTGGGCACCTGGGGAGTCGCCTACTTAAAGAAGGGCCCTTTGCATCTGAAAGTGCTGCGTGGGAAAGCCTGTGTTCACTGACGCAGACTAAGCCCTGAACCCTAGACTCACGGGTTTGTGTTTTCTGGCACCCGACTTGGGGGGGGGGGGGGGGGGGGGGAGGAGGAGGCTTCAGGGTTCAGGATATCCTGTTTCAACCGTAAACCCCAAACCCTAAACCCTAATTAAACCTAAACCCTAAACCCCCCCAAACCCCAAACCCAAAACCCCAAACCCCAAACCAAACCCCAAACCCCAACCCCAAACCCCCCCCCCAAACCCCAAACCCCAAACCCCAAACCCAAAAACCCCAAACCCCAAACCCCAAACCCCAAACCCCAAACCCAAACCCCAAACCCCAAACCCCAAACCCCAAACCCCAAACCCCAAACCCCAAACCCCAAACCCCAAACCCCAAACCCCAAACCCCAAACCCCAAACCCCAAACCCCAAACCCCAAACCCCAAACCAAAACGGCTTGAAGGTCGAGTCTTAGGGCTCTCCCTCTTCCAGGCACAGCAACTTCTGTGCGTTCGCCGTGCTCCCTGGCTCCTCGGTCCGGGCAACATCGACCCAGTGTCCTGCCCAAACGGAGGGTTTAGGGTTTAGGGTTTAGGGTTTCGGGTTTAGGATTTAGGGTTTCGGGTTTCGGGTTTAGGGTTCGGGTTTCGGGTTTCGGGTTTCGGGTTTCGGGTTTAGGGGTTAGGGGTTAGGGGTTAGGGGTTAGGGTTTAGGGTTACATCGACCCAGTGTCCTGTCCAAACGGCTCAGGCCTCGATTAGGGTTTAGGGCTGAGGGGTTTAGGGTTCGGGGTTTAGGGTTTAGGGTTTAGGGCTTTGGGTTTAGGGTTTAGGGTTTAGGGATACATGGTTATAGAGTTCAAGGTACATGTTCGGACCTTGGGAAGCATTGCGCACAGCAGGCGTGCAACCCGGTCCTACCAGGACCTGCCCAAGAAGGAGGGCGAAGATGAACTTCGTGAAGAAGAGCAGGGTCACACCTGACGGGTCTACAGGGTTTAGGGTTGAGGGTTTGGGGTTGAGGGTTGAGGGTTGAGGGTTGAGGGTTGAGGGTTGAGGGTTGAGGGTTGAGGGTTGAGGGTTGAGGGTTGAGGGTTGAGGGTTGAGGGTTGAGGGTTGAGGGATGAGGGTTGAGGACTGAGGACTGAGGACTGAGGGTTGAGGGTTGAGGGTTGAGGTTGTGGATTTGAGGTTTAGGGTTTTCCGGGTTGCTCCACCAGGCGACCGGAGAAAGCTGTAGAATGTGTGTTTTGGGGCAGTTTCCATGACTACTATGTGCTTAAGAGCCCCAAAAGAAAAATAGCAATCCCTAGATTGCCCTTAATCAGGAAGAATATCTTGCAATTTTTATAAGCAATTCGTAGATGATACTAAACTAGCGAAGACATTCAGGGGATGATGTTGGCAACTCTTTCGGCGAATCGAAGGCCTTGGTCGGTTTAGAGTTTGAGGTTGTCCCGGCGGGTTCACTGTCGGGGATGGTTTCGTATCGTTTTTTTCGAGGTTTTGTGTTTTTTCGGTCCAGGGTAAAAAAGGGAGTACTGTTGCATTTGCGACAGTCCCATGGTAACCATTAGCCTTTCTTCCGAAAACAAAATCAACTTTTGGTTCTCTCCATTTGCGCACCGCGCTCTCGCCTTCCGCACACACAGCGCTTCAACGATGCTACGAAACCCCACACAGGCCCATGAATTTGTGCTTTTCTTTTCACGGGAAAACCGATTGGCCACAGGCGGTCGCTGAATGTGAGCTGCAGATAAAAGAAACGCGCACGAGATGGATGTAATTAAACCCCCCCCCAACCCACCCACCCCCCCACTCGAACACAAAGAAAAATAGGCACGGAACGCTGTTTCAGCGTTCCGTCGTTTGTACCATGTTGAACAACGAGCAAGAATGAAAGAAGAGTGTAAGAGGGCAATGCGAAATCATGCGAAAACCATGCGCAGGCCACGTATTCAGGCAATCCCTTTAGAAGTTAGAGGATAGGAGTAGGGGGACCCTTGGGGATATGGACCCTCCGAATAAGGTCCCTGTGTAAGAGAGCCAGCAGAGGGTTCAGAAGGGGTTCCTTTTAAGGGCCCCCCTTATCCAACCTAGGAGAAGTGGAAAAGTGGGCGGGCGCATGGTGAAGCGTCAAAACCATGCAAACGCGTCCCCGATAGTGAGTCCGCCTGCAAGGTTTAGGGTTTGGGGTTTAGGGTTTCGGGTTTAGGGTTTAGGGTTGAGGGTTGAGGGTTGAGGGTTGAGGGTTGAGGGTTGAGGGTTGAGGGTTGAGGGTGAGGGTTGAGGGTTTAGGGTTTAGGGTTTAGGGTTTAATGTCTAGGGTTTAGGGTTTAGGGTTGAGGGTTGAGGGTTGAGGGTTGAGGGTTGAGGGTTGAGGGTTGAGGGTTGAGGGTTGAGGGTTTAGCTCTGAGCTCCGGGCACCAAAAGGCGTTCACCACGGAGCCCGCAACGCAGTCAAGCATCAGCCTCAGCTCCTGGAAGAAGTGCAGCCTGGGCAGAAATCACAGGTTCCTTAAGGGAGGAGTTTAGGGTTTAGGGTTTAGGGTTTAGGGTTCAGGGTTCAGGGTTCAGGGTTTAGGGTTTAGGGTTTACGGTTTACGGTTTACGGTTTGTACGCCTGGAGTGAAGCCCTAGGCCAAAAACTCAGTAAAATAACACTAAGCCTTGGGATGTTCCCCCCCTTATGCTAACAGTCCTTAGTAGGGTGTAGGGTTTAGGGTTAAGGGGTATAGGGGTGTAGATTGGGATGCTCCGCCTTGTACTAGCAGTCCTGATTGTGAATTATAGTCGGGGGTACGATAATCCCGAATATTAAGGACTGTTACTATAAGGGGGAACATCCCAACATAGGGTCCTTTTGGCAGGAGGGGGGGGGGTGGCTCAAGGAGGTTTATGCAACCCAAGGATCTCTCAGGCTCCCCACTGCTCCCGAAGGCTCCCTAAGCTTTTCTAGGGTTTAGGGTTTAGGGTTTGAGGTTGAGGGTTGAGGGTTGAGGGTTGAGGGTTGAGGGTTGAGGGTTGAGGGTTGAGGGTTGAGGGTTGAGGGTTGAGGGTTGAGGGTTGAGGGTTTAGGGTTTAGGGTTTGGGTCCTCTAGAAAGAAATCCTGGCATGCCGGAATTCTAAACCCTAAGCCCTGAGACTACACGGGTGACGGGTGGTGCGGAGCCGTTCTGCTGAGATGGCCCTGCGCGAGTAGCATGAAAAAAACACATGCCTAAACCCAAAACCCTAAACCCTAGACCCTAAACCCTAAACCCTAAACCCTCAACCCTCAACCCTCAACCCTGGTTCGGAAGCTGACCCTGGCTTGGATCGAACGACGGAGGCAGAATGCTGCTTCAGGAGGTCGGTTGCATCTGTCATGGAATGCAACAAAGCAAAGCTGAGCTCCGCCAGCCCGCACACTGCTCTTAGGGTTTAGGGTTTCGGGTTTCGGCTTTAGGGTTTAGGGTTTCGGGTTCAGGGTTTAGGGTTTAGGGTTTAGGGTTAGAGGAATTCGACAGGTGAGAGGATCAGGGTCTGGGATTGCGGACATGAATTGGCAGGGGCGGAAGGGGAAGATCGCATAGCTTCAGACATATGATAGAACGGCGGGTCGCAGAATTCGAAGAAATTTGGGGTGCGAAGGCGCAACCTTAAACCCTAAAACCTGAAACCCTGAAACCCTGAAACCCTGAAACCCTGAAACCCTGAAACCCTAAACCCTAAACCCTAAACCCTAAACCCTAAACCCTAAACCCTAAACCCTACCGCTTCTCAAAAGCTTCAGGTGATGTGACATGAAGCCCTCGTCAGAGACATGCTCAAAGCCTTCTAAACCTGAAACCCCATAAACCCTATCAACCCGATAAACCCAAAACCCTATACCCTAAACCCTAAACCGCATAAACCCTATGAACCCTAGCCCCTATAAAAAACCCCAAAAACCCTAAAAACCCGAAAAACCCGAAAAACCCTAAACCCTGTAAGCCCCAAACCCGAAGCCCTCACTCTTAAGCCCATTTCCCTTTTCCCTTTTCCCTTTTCCCTTTTCCCTTTTCCCTTTTCCCTAAACCCTAAACCCTAAACCCTAAACCCGGGATTTCCTACGTCTCCTCTGGCGCTAAGCTGAGCACTGCCGGAAGATTCGGAGGATCCGCGCCAGCTTGCAGAGGCGAAGCAGCCGCAGGAACATCACCTGAGGTTTAGGGTTTAGGGTTTAGGGTTTGGGGTTTGGGGTTTAGGGTTTAGGGTTTAGGGTTTAGGGTTTAGGGTTTAGGGTTTAGGGTTTAGGGTTTAGGGTTTAGGGTTTAGGGTTTAGGGTTTAGGGTTACGGCTTTGGGCTTAGGGCCTAGGGCTTAGGGTTTAGGGTTCAGGGTTTAGGGTTTAGGGTTCAGGGTTTAGGGCTCCAAGGATGGGCCCTGACTTTGGACCTCTTGTTGTGCAATCCTTATATACACTATACAGAATACTTCGGATCCCTACAGGGAAGGCTAAGGGGCCCGTGGTTCCCAACCTTAGAACCCAAGAGCGGTTGGGGGTTTTTAGGGCCAACTTGGAGGCGAATTGGTACTTACAAATAGGGTTTAGGGGTAGGGGTAACCTGGATATAGCCTTATTTAGAGGACTTGCAACCCCCCTGCTTATAGGTATCCATGAACCTTCAAGTACCCTAAACCCCCTAAACCCTAAACCCTCAACTCTAAACCCTAAACCCTGTAGGCTTCAGGGCTTGTAGAGCTCATGTTGCTCACGGAGCCCATAGGTCTATCACAAGGCCCAAATGGATGGGCACTTGCTTTCGTCCCCGACTCAGACGCCCCGCCCCCCGCTCAAAAAGGCGAACAATTTGGATCAATAGGGTTTAGGGCTTCGGTTTAGGGCGTAGGGCTTAGGGCTTAGGGTTTAGGGTCTAGGGTTTAGGGTTTAGGCTGTAGGGCTTAGGGTTGAGGGTTTCGGGTTCAGGGTTCAGGGTTCGGGGTGTAGGGTTTCGGGTTTAGGGTTTAGGGGTTAGGGTTTGTGCGGATGCTTTTCAGGAATGGACTGACTAAGGCCCGGGGGAGCTGTGGCTACCAATCCTGTGTATAGTTTTGGGCCTTTGGGCTTGCGGTCGTTGGCAGCATCTTCGGTTCACGACAATCACCGGCTATTTGGCGCAAACCTCTTCAGGAGCAACAAGCACCCCGCTGGGAAATGGCAAGCCGCGCCCCGAACCTCTGAGCCTCAAGTCAAGGAACTTTCCCTGGGAGTTTCGGGAGTTTTCCTTAAAGCCGAAAAACTAAACCCTAAACCCTAAACCCGACAACCTTAGGGTTAGGGCAGCTTGAACCATTTGAAGGCAAACCCGTCGAGGGAGCTCTTGACCGAAAGCATGGTTCGTACAAGCCCGCTGTCGGCCCGGCGCCAGGCCAACAGTAGGGTTTAGGGTTTAAAGCTCAGGAAGCGACGCTTGCGCTCCTTCCTCGAGAAGTGGGTTTAGGGTTCAGGGTGTAGGGTTTAGGGTTTAGGGTTTAGGGTTTAGGGTTTAGGGTTTAGGGTTTAGGGTTTAGGGTTTAGGGTTTAGGGCTTAGGGTTTAGGGTTTAGGGTTTAGGGTTTAGGGTTTAGGGTGCATGGGCTGAAGCTGAAGGACTCCAATTTCAAGCCAAGGGGACATCGAACCCCGAGCCGGAGCTCAGACTTCCGGAGGCGACGGCTGTGAAGATGTGCCTCAGAGGGGTTGATAGGGGCTTGAAGGGGATTTATAAGGGGTTTGGGGGGGGCTTATACACTCTAAACCCTAAACCCTAAACCCTAAACCCTAAACCCTAAAGGGCGTGTATAGGGGGTTTATGACTGCGGCGTTCCCCCTCTCCACTGGCCACCAAGATCATGATATTGCCACGTAAGCTCTGGGCTAAAGCGGCTAAAGCGCTTCACGGCATCTCCGGCTGCCCTCTTGCAGACAGCCGCCTTTCCTTGCGGGCGGCTGCCACGCGGGCGCTCAAGTGTTGCCCTGTTGGATCGAGCGCGATGCTCCGCCTTTCCATCAGGCTGATCCAGGGCTTTAACAATTTTGGACCAGCCTCAGCGACTTTCGCCTGAGCAGTCCCGGATTTGAAGAGCTTTCTGAGTGCGACGCACTTTCGCCTGCAAAAGCAAGGATAAGCCCCGACACTTCAACAAAACCGAATTTCTGAACCCCGAACCACGCATTTTCCCCCATTAAGATAAGCCCTTTTGTACCATTTGATAACCCTCTTCACCGCTCACATGTGCTTGTTTTCGACAAGTTGCTCTGCCAGAACAGTCACCACCAAGAAGGTGTCAAACAAATTCCACCATCTGTCCTGGCGACAAAATCTCTGCAATGAAAGGAACCGCCAAAAGATCTGGTTGACCATGTTGCTGCCATGTGCCCCTTCATGGCCTCATGCTTCATCATCCCAAAGCAGCAGCGGTGTGAAGAAGACAAAAAAACCCTGTGAAGAGCGGAGCCCCATCTCTATCACTCCGCTACGTTGAGTCGACCAAACCTTCCAGCCCAGAAACCTTCCGACCGCAAAAGCCCAAAGAAACGTCCAGCGCTGAAGGCCCCTTCTTTCCAAAGCCCCCTCTCCCCCCCCCCCCCTCCCCTCCCTAACCTCCCCACAATTGGTAGTACAGTCAAGTTTAGAAGCTTTCAAAACGAGGCGCCCCCATTCCCATTCCCTGCTCACCTCTCTCACTACTGAGACTTGTCTCAATATCGGTTCAGGTGAGGGTTTTGGGTACTCTCACCACTCTCCTCTGTTTGCCCTCTCCCATAGGTCTAGGGTTTAAAACACCCATATGAATTGAGTTTCCTTACGGCCGCACGGAAACGAGTCTCTGAACGGAATGCACGTGGCACTTGTGTCTCACCGTCATAGCCGTGCTGAGCAGCTGTGCATCTCAGCCAAGTAGGAGGATGTCGAATCAATTTCTTTGAAGAAGTTCAGAAACGACAACAGCTTGAGTAATGTCGACTTTTGTTCTGTGAACTGTCTTTTTCTGTGAACTTGCTGGTCTCGTTGGTGGAGGGTGCCGTACTTGAGGCCATTCGACGAAGACATGACGACACCCACCGACGCAACTGACCTTGGCACCGCTGCGCAGAAAGTGGCATCTCCTTTAATGGCGGCCCAAGGACAGAATTCGCATGAAGAAAGATGTCCGGAACCGGACATAGCAAAATACTCAAAAGATATGGTAAGGCTAGAGAGATTTGTGACTGAGCCAAGCAAAGCTCAATGAACATGAAGACACGATCCTGACATACGGATGGAAGAGGGAGTCCATCATTCATATACAAGAGCTTACTTACAAGGGAACACTACCCCCCCCCCCCCCCACCCCACCCCCCCCCCCCCCAAAAAAAAAAAAAAAAACATAGTAACATGAATAGTACAATGGAAGGAGGAGGGGGGGGGGGGGGGGCATCCTAAAGTTCCGCAACCTGGTGGGCTCCTTCAATGCGGACGTACTGGACACTAAGGGGGAGCACCTCCCTGTTTTGAAGAAATGCCCACAGCACCGCCAGCAACTCAGATTCCTATTAAGGCTGGGCTGCCCTCGCACTTTGCTTTTCAGAGCCCCCTAAACCCTAAACCCTAAACCCTAAACCCTAAACCCTAAACCCTAAACCCTAAACCCTAAACCCTAAACCCTAAACCCTAAACCCTAAACCCTAAACCCTAAACCCTAAACCCTAAACCCTAAACCCTAAACCCTAACCCTACACCCTAAACCCTAAACCCTAAACCCTAAACCCTAAACCCTAAACCCTAAACCCTAAACCCTAAACCCTA